CGTTGCAATTAACAACTGAAAAGAATTACTCAAACGTCTTCTTATATGTAAAACGAATTGTACTCAACACAAATATCACGTAAACCAGTCATGCTGGGAGGGATTTCTCAACTTCTGTAAGACTAAGTTGAATTGCGTAGATGGAACCATTCAGTAGACCTGAATGTTTGCGCAAACAAGAATCCATGGTGTCCGAATGTTTTATCATATTTTTCTTGTTCAAAATAGCGTTACATTAACTTTCCTTTCAGAGAAACATTAACTATTGTCCGCTCAGTATAGATTCAGTTACGTGGAATTTGGAGAAATGCAAATGTGCCTGATGAGGCCTCTGCAACAGGGAATGGCTAAACGCGTTAGCAGAGGTGTGTACGCGAAATAGCCGGGCATTATTCATGCATCACTCTCTCCCTCTCAAATATATATATATATATATATATATATATAAAAGTGAACATTGAACACTTAGAGGCGACAGGCTGTTTCATGCTGGACGCAATCGTCAGGCCGTCTGAAACACCTTGTCGCCTCTGAGTGTTGACTTTAATGTTCATTTTTATATTTATATTTGACATACACTATCTGATGTTGAGCACTTTTATCCCATAAATATAGCAGAACTTAAAACTATTTTTCTTCATATATATATATAAATATATATATATATATATATATATATATATATATATTATCCCTCACCGATATCACGACTCGGAGTTTCATGCACAACGCAATCTTCAGGCCAATAGACTGAACGTTATATAATTTATATTTTAATAAAAAAAAATATCAGTTTATCGCAATTTTAGCGCTGTTATATATTATACAGACATTACAGTTTTTTAATTTAAAAAAAAATATATTTGCCATTAAAAATAAAGTGGATTTTATACGTCATCTCAGAGATAAAGACAGGTATCGGATATATATATATATATATATATATATATATATATATATGTAAAAATATTTTAGAGTTGTGAATATTAATTGCTTATAGATGTAGGTGCTTAGTGGAAAGCAGTCAATATCAATGACAGAGCTAACATATTCCGTTTTATGGATATGAGTTTTAATCCCACGTTTCACGCTTGTATATATAATGTCATCCCATAAGTTCTGTCCGAATTTTAATTTTTTGTTAAAATGAACGAAATTTAAAGAGTATTTTATAATGTCTAATGGTGCTTAACATTATTTTTATGTTTAGATGAATTTAAACTGATCAAATTTTATTTCAGAGAACAATAAAATTAAATTTTGATTGATTAAAACTCTGCTAACATGGAAGTACCCAAGAATCATTTGAGGCACATAATACTTTATGAGTTCAAGAAAGGAAACTCAGCAGCCGAAGCGGCTAGAAACATTCACCAAGTTATTGGAGAGGAATGTGTGAATGAAAGAACTTGCAGAAGATGGTTTGCAAAATTCAGAGGTGGAGATTTCACCCTTGAAGATGAAGATCGAACCGGACGTCCAGTTGAGTTTGATGAAAAGCTTCTTGAAGCAGCCCTTGAAGAAAATCCTGCTTTATCAGTTGAGGAATTGGCAGTGGTTCTCAGTTCAAACCATACAATTGTTCATCGTCATCTTCAACAACTTGGAAAAGTTCCTAAACTTGGAAAATGGGTGCCTCATGAATTGTCTGAAAACACCCTCAAATCCCGAGTTGACATCTGCTCTTCTCTTCATTCTCGCCAACTTGTTTCACATTATTTGGATAGACTTGTGACTGGGGGCGAAAAATGGATCTTTTATCGAAATGTTAAGCGTCGTAGATAGTGGCTTGGAAAAGGGGAAGAACCCCAGCCACAACCGAGAAGGGAACTTCATAGGCAAAAGGTTCTTCTTTCAATCTGGTGGGATCGCCAAGGAATAATCCACTCTGAATTCTTACCACCTAATGCAACAATTAATGCTCAAATATACTGTCAGCAATTAGAGCGTTTGAACCAAGCTTTGAGGAAAAAAAGACCTGCTCTAGTGAATCGAAAAGAGGTGATGTTTCATCAGGACAATGCGCGGCTTGGTTGCGAGAATATTCCTCATCCACCTTATTCTCCCGATCTTGCTCCTTCAGACCACCATTTGTTTCGTAGCTTACAGAATCATTTGGAAGAAACAGCTTTTGTAACACAGGAAGAGGTTAAAACTGACATTTGTGAGTTCTTCGAATCAAAGCCAAAAGAATTTTACAGTAATGGAATTAGTAATCTTGTTAATAGATGGAAGGAAGTCATAGATAATCAGGGAAAATACATTATTGATTGAATCTGTTATTAAATGTAACATTTGGTCACTTGTTTTCTTCATTCAAAATTCGGACAGAACTTATGGGATCACCTGATATATATATATATATATATATATATATATATATATATATATATATATATATATAACCTTCGTTTCACGCTTTGCGATCATCAGACTAACTGGCTTATTTTTTGTCTGATAATCCCAATAGCGTAAAAACCTATGGTCCCAAACTCATAATCATACAACTGAGAATATATATATATATATATATATATATATATATATATGAAAATTTCTCAGAGTTAACCTGTAGAAAAGACAATATTTATAAAGGACGCTATTTTCATACTGTTAACTGTTGACGTAATTTTCAGTTCACTGTATGAAAATACCGTCCACTAAATTCTTCCAGTTACTAAGGACATTTTGTTTTTGTTATTATTAGTTACTCTGTTTAATTAAATTCATTTCTATACTCATAGTTCAGTACAATTTTCTTTGTATCTAACGAAAGTTTCCTGATTTTTAGTAAGCTGCATACGTCTTGGAAATCATGTTAGGCTACCCCAATACGCCTTCAGATTACTGTTATGTGATTTCTGTCCTGCTATATTTCAGTGAATGTTGGACAATCGTAGATGAAGAGACCTGAAGGAACAGAAATGTAGTTCAAGAGAAGAATGCTGAGGATACCATAGATCGAATAATTGAGCAACGTTGAAATGGAAGCAAAAAGGAGAAAGCTGACATGCCTAATACAGATAATGAGGAAAAGGGGCTTGGAAAATTTTGTACTCACAAATCAGAGTGATGCCAAGAGGGACAGAGGAAAACGATCCATAACATATTTAGTGATATTGACTAAACAGAGAAGAAGAAGAAGAAGAAGAAGAAGAAGAAGAAGAAGAAGAGGGAGGAGGAGGGGGAGGAGAAGAAGAAGAAGAAGAAGAAGAAGAAGAGGGGAGGAGGAGGGGGAGGAGAAGGAGAAGAAGAAAAAGAAGAAGAAGAAGAAGAAATAGAAGAAGAAGGAGGAGGAGGAGGAGGAGGTGAAGAAGAAGAGAATAAGAAGGAGGAGGAGAAGAAGAAGAAGAAAAAGAAGAAGAAATGCGAATAAAAAAATAAATAAATCCACACTTGACGTTTTAACGCAATCTTAGTCTAAATCAAAACAATTTCTCAAATGCAAAAGATATCCAACTCAATACGTGAGTAAAATTCGAATATTAAGAGTATATTTCCTTTATTTGATTTTCGTACTTTTGTACCGTTCCAAGAATATTCAGGCATCAATCTCCCCCCCCCATCTTACTTGATACTGTTCTTTCATAATTTTCATATCCTGAGGGAATCTTCCATTTTGCTCATCTCTAACATCTTTCAAATTAAATTATATAAATGACATACTGAAGTTTCGATTACACATTGATAATAACGATGTAAAATGATTTTATCTAAGGAGTTTATACTGTTTCGATGTTCCGTTTTTAGAACGATAGGGTACCTCAAAGTGATGTCATGATTAGTAAGCATGCCTCGCAAAAACAAATATGACTAAGTAGTGAGTTCGGTCCTCACTGAGTGCCCCATACTTTCAGCCTTGTGCCACATCTAAGCTACGCTTGGAATACCATCATAAATTAGAACAATACAGTGACATTGTCATTATCAACAGTCATTATCATAATATAGACACCAATGTTGCGTTCTGTGTCGTCAGTGGCTTCAGGACCTCAACGCCACTCAATAAATGGTATGAACCGAGAGACTTCTTCTTCTTCTTCTTCTTCTTCTTCTTCTTCTTCTTCTTCTTCTATATGCTGCGTCCCTCCAGGGCGATGGCGATCTTGGCTCTAGACAATTCCCTGTCCTTTGTAGCTCTTAAGGCTATTTGTTTGTTTTCTGTCATCACTCCGAAATCCTGCTGCGTCATCCCTTCGCTCAATTTCGCAAGTTAGGTTGTGTGTTGCTTTTCAATCTATCTGTCGCCTTCAATCTTTCCCGTGAGAATATAACATTTCCAGGCGCTCCTTCCTCGTTATGTCTCGTCCTAATGTTAAGTATCAGTGTCCTTTTGATGCCATTGTATCTAGAACTTTATTCTTGGTCATATAGTATTCTCTGTATCTGTAAAACCGCATTTCTGTTTCTTCAAGTCTCCTCTTCATCTATGATTAGATTGTTCAACATTCCTACCAAATCGGGAGATTGATACTACCTGATAGTTTAGTATTTTTTTGTTTGTTTCTAACGATATTTTTTTTCTGCTTTCTTAGTACATTGCTCAGCTTTTGAAAGGCATCTTTCCTTATCCCAATTCGCCTTCAGATCCCTATGTCGTACCTTCCATCTTTTGTTAACCCGCTTCCCAAATATCTAAATTGTTACACCGGTTTGATCTCGGCATTTCAAATCTGTAATTTGTACGTTGGGCTGTCCCTTTTGCATTCAGTCTTCTTTCATACAGTCTTCTTGCAATTGATATTTAATCCATTCTTTTCGCTTTCCTTCATTACCTGCTGTAAAAGATCTTGAGAAGGACAGACGTGGCAGCATCGATGCTAGGACGGACAGCTTCAAGGCATAGAACGCATGCCGCTTACTGGCATACCGTCCCTCTGGACATGGTTTTAACCTGGGCGTGGGAAGCCTATCGACGCTTCAAAATTCCTGGTACCTCTGCCGACTTCACGCCGTTTTTGTTCTCATATCCAAAACTTAGGGGCATACGAACACATCACATTGAAACATTCGCTCCCGTACGATAACCGAACTTAAGCAATGTCAGGCCTGGTCAGTAACTAGATGGGTGACCTCTTGGGAATACCAGGTCCTGTCAGCTTGGATGTACGGTTGGTGTAATGGATAATGGTTGTTAATCGGGGGCAGCGTTCCAGTTCTGGTTGGGTCTTTTAATATTCACTTACGCGCAAATACTCTTGAAAACAGATATGAATCCATCACTTCTATCCACTAGCTATAGGTTAATTAGTAAGACTTATATAACGAAAGCCATTGTTATCTAACAAAAAAAATGGGTACAGATATTTAGATTTCGATAGACGTTGATATGCCGCTAAACAAAACAACCAAACAAAACTTAGACAAAGGCAATTCATCACCGTTAGAAAATCACGCCCACAAGGTTTTCTGACCAATCACAGACAATACTAACCCGTCTCCACATTCTAAAATATCAGTTTTATGAACTGTGAGGAATTTAATAACATTTCTAAGCGAGCGTTCAGAATTTGAATATTATGGGCAATTTCATTCTTCTAAAAACATTCACAGTCTGTGGAGTTAAATGTTGATCTCACCAGTTTAAACTGGACTTGATTTTCGGACTCAGAGTCCAAAAATTAGCTCAAAAATATTATGAGTTGGCTATATGTAAACCAGGTTAATCAGATTCGATGGTAATCAAATTCAAAAATCAATATAAATTGTCAACTGTAAATCATTAAATTCCAATGCAAACGATGAGTTATTCACAAACACAATTTTTTTTAGCATTTTACTGCAAGCCAAGCGGGAGTGCGACTACCACGCAAGGGGTTACAGAGATTGAGAGCTAGAGTAAAAGGGTGTGTTTGAGGTAAGTATATAGAGAAGGACGGATATCAGGATCAAGGCATCAGAAGATGTCGATTGATATTACATTTGAATATTTGAAGATTATAGCTATCAGGGATGCAAGTAGGAGGAAGGGAGTTCCACTGAATGAAAATGCGAGGTAGGAAGCTGTTGGAATAGAAGAGGCGGTTGCATTTAACTGTTTCGAGAGTGAAAGGGTGGGACCGAGATGCAAACCTAGTAGCACGCTTAAATTCTTGCAGCTGGTGTAACAGTTAAAGTAGCTCGTCAGCGCAGTTGCCATGAAAATATTTGTGAAAAGACAGAGGGAAGCCACAGCACGTCTCTGAGAAAGTAACTGTAGACGAGATGACAGATCAGGTCCTATGTATGTGTGTGTGTGTGCGCGCGCGCTCGTGTGCATGGGTGTGCATGTGTGTATAGTTCATGTATTTATAAAGGAATTTCTTTTATTTTAAGCATATCACCCCAAGCAAGGCGGGAGTACCACTAGCACACAAGGGTTACAGAGTGTGAGAGCAAGAGTAAAGAGGGGGGTGTGAGGAAAGGTTATATAGAAGGACGGGGATCTGGATCAAGACATCAGAAGATGTCGATTGACATTACATGTGAATGTTTGAAGATTATAGCTGTCATGGAAGCAAGTAAGAGGAAGGGAGTTTCACTGTTGGGAAGTGTCAGAGAAGAAGCCTTTGGAGTAGAAGACATACCGATACTTATATATTTTTATACACCTATTTTTACTTCTACGTGTATTTTTAGTAAATTGGATCCCAGTACGATCTTCCGCATTAATCGATCATCCGAGATTAAAACCGTTTCCCCCACCAGGTTTTTTTTTACAGCAGACGTATAAATATGACCGATCAGAAGGCGGATGAAACTTCTTATAGGTCCAGTGGCCACCTAGCAAAATACAGCAAAATTCAGGGTATGCATCCAGGGTGGTGATGGAACGGCGTCGCCTGGTGGAAATCTTTCGAGACAGAAGGCAAAGGCCAGGGTGGCGGCCTTCCCACAATGGAAATCAACGGCCCAATGTCAGTGAGCATAACGGGCCTTCAAGCTGGAGGACTGTAATTTGACAAGAAGAGGAATGGGCTCCACCAGATCTATTTGCGCTAAGCTATACCTTTCCACAATGATATGTAGACAGAACTAGTCAGGCGCACAGATGCGCGGTGTCATTTCATCATCATCATCTTGCGGCCTCAGACAAGATTGAACTCACTACACCTCTCCAGTATTCCCTATCTGTCATAGCACATAAAAGATCTTCCTTAGAGATCAATGTGTCTCGTTTTATCCTATGTCATTTAGCTACCCACGATCATGGGACTGATGATTATCATGACGATAATTATTATGTATTTGTCTTCTTAGATAGCCAACTCCAATAATAGAAACCATAATTATTCCTACATTAACCCTTATCGACTTTCCTTTATACGAATATTTTGAAACGTCTAAATTGACAACTGAAATTGTATATTAGCTTGGTGCATAATTACCAGGCAGTTTTGTAGGCGTGTTAATCGTTAATAAAAATCGTTGTTTTGTTTACTTCATTTTAATAAAAATTTTATTTTCAGCTTATAAAAATGCGTGTCAATAACCATACTCATTTAAAAATGTTATTATTGAATTGTTATGTTTCTTTCCTGCATAAAAACGCCTGATAATTATGCACCAACCCAATATTATTTCAGAGAATCTTCTGCTGTTTACATGTGAAAGCCATTGCAAGCCAGCCTGACATAGATGCGTAATGTCGACCATTCTTGTTCCTTGCAGTCTAATCAAAGCGAAGTAAATATCTGGAAGCTAACATAATCAAACGATACATACTGCTGCTGTTACTACAGGTTCATTAATAATGATATTAACTGAAAACAATTATAGCCTCCTAATAAGATTTGAGTAACGCGTTCACTGGACCAGAAATGATGCCTAAATAAAAATGAAAACAAAAATAAATGAGTAAACATTTGATATATATAAAAGTAATTATATATATATATATATATATATATATATATATATATATATATATATATATATATATATAAAGTATATGATTGGTTTGGTTTGGTTTGGTTTGTTTTACGGCATATCGATCTCAATGGGTCATTTAATGCCGACATTTTTTTTTCCTGGTAATATTTTTGTTTTGTCAAGAATCTATTTCTGATAATATTTTTCCTCAAAAATGTATAACTGGTAATATAATTTCAAAAAAGGTATTGCTGGTAATATTTTTTTTTCAAAAACGTATTGCTGGTAATAGTTTTCTTCTTCAAAAATTTATTTCTGGTAATAATTTTTACAATGTATTTCTAGTATTAAAAGCTATTCTTATACCTTCATAATGCTTTTTACCTCAGTTTGCGGGTTAACTATTTGCCCATAGCTGGGACCCTAGCAGGTGCTATCGGTCTGGGTCAGGGTTGACCTGGATCTGGGAACACCAGTAATTAAGAGGTGGTTCCACGCTCCTCAAAGTATCCTGATCAGAGGCCTTGCTGTTGGACGTACTTTATCGTATTACCCTGGACGCGGATGTAGTTTATCGCCAGGACGTGTATAGGATTGGTGTTTACGGAATAAAGTCCAATAACCAAAAAAATACTATTCTTAAAAGAGTGCTCAATACAGAGTAGATCCAATATAATTATTTATTCGAAAATTATAACGTAAATATGTTATAAAATCATTACAAAAATAGCCATTATATAAATATATATATATTTAAATAAAAACAGACCACTTTAAGGTTCCATGTAATAAATTATTTCACCTCAGCCCTTTTAAAGGACTGCGGATCATCAGACTTTACTTCCAAACAAAAAATGAAAAGAAAATTTACACATTTTTGACGGGCCGTATTAAACATATGTAAATTAACGAAGTGAGGATGTGAGGGGGGAGTGAGAAGACATGAGTGAGTTAGCCGATATTGACACATTTAAGCGGTTAACTTAATTTTTTATATATTGATATCGAAGGGGTAGAGAAAAAAACCCATAGAGAGAAAAAAAAGAGAGAAGGACGTTATGAGAGGTGTCACTAATTTTCTTTGAAAAAAAGGCTAGAAACAGACGATGTTATTTTGTTTTACTTTGAAAGAGTTTTTTGGGGGGTTCATAATTTTTGTGCCTTGGTTTATAATTAATATTCACTATTTTCTATTTTAACTTTTAAAATTGTTTAAGCTCGTGTCTTTAATTTCGTGATTCTTTTTCAACTTGACTTGGAATGTTAATATTTTAAAATCTAGGTCAAGGTTATATTAACTGTCTCCTTTTCCTGGGTATGACTATAAACCGCATCCAACAGCAGGGCATCTAATCGGGAGGATTTTGTGGAGTGTGGAACCACCTTATAATTACTGTTGTTTCCAGGTAGCACTTGTAAGGGTCCAAGAAGAAGAAAAAGAAGAACATGCCAATCCATGACTGCCGACCTGTACTCATAGAAGTTGAAACTTGCCCAACAAGCATTGAAGCAGAAGGAGCCAGCATTGCTTACTTGCAAGAGTGTACTGTTGCTACATGATAATGCCAGTCCTCCTGAAGCGACTCGAGTGATCGACATGGATTAACAAAGAATTACGAACTTTTCAATTCTTTGGACATCCACCTTCCTATGAAATTGTTTGTAAAAGAGGCACAATTGCGGCAGGACCTTACAGACTTCTTTGCGTCCAAGAGAACTGTTTTTTTCCACCAGGACATTGTACGAGATCGAAACACGCTAGCAGAATGTTCTGGATAATTGACAGGAATTACTGTGATGACTAAATATATGTCAAATTTGCTGTAGAACTTGTTTTTGTAATAAATGAAAACCGACAAGGAGTTGTTTGGTTATTTGTACACGTACACACACACACACACACACACACACACATACTAACACACACACATACACATATATGTATATATACATATATAGGGTAGTAATCAAGCCAGTATGCAATTACTTATAATAAACAAGCAAAGCATTGAATCAGGAATCTTATAGTTCGACCAGTATCGGTAATTGATTAAATATTGTTTAACGCTGTGGCACCATTTACGAGGCAGAGAAAGAAAGAGAAAGAAAAGAAGGCAGAAAGAAATGCGAGACGGATCATAGGTGATAAAACAGCCACACACATGGCCTAAGAGACAATGAAAATATTGATAAGTAACAAGTGAATAAGTGTGTCATTACAATGACAGGTAATTTCTGAGTAAAAAA